TTATATATATATATATATATATATTTATATATATATATATATATATATATATATATATATATATATATATATATATATATATATATATATATATATATATATATATATATATATATATATATATATATATATATATATATATATATATATATATATATATATATTTCAAGCATCTATTTTGGCAGTTTGAAATTTGAAAAAGACAAGTTTCCAACCTAATATTAGGTTAAACTAGTTTGAAGTTTCAATCAAATAAAAACAGAAAATGCTGCAGTATGTACATAATAAAGAAAATCAATTGACATAACTTGATAACAAAAAAAATTAAATTAAATAAAAACTAACCTTTTAAATTGCATGTGTGAATCACTCCTAAAATGGAAGTAAACAAACCAAATGAGTTTTCAGCCTTAGATATTTAAATGTACAAATATTAAACTAATTAATATAAATAATATTAGCCCCTTCGGAAAAAAATAAAATAAAATAAAATTAGCCCCTCAAATTAAAGCTTGTTAAGCTCGTCTTGTTAGTGGTAACTTGAGTTTGTATTATTTTAAAAAAAAAAAATCAATAAAAGAAACTACAGCCAGCCATATATGTAGATTGTGTAAACACTCTCGTATAAAATACACATTAATTAAAATAATTAAGTAGCACTTAAAATTCACATTAAACTACTAATACAAAAGGATCAATTAATACTTGCAAGATAGAAGATTACTAGTATTTTAAAATAATTTCTAAATTTCTAATACATTTAAAGACTAAGAATATTTCACCCACATATAACATAATGATGTACTAATTACTCCCTCCATAATTAATCCAAGAAAAATAAATAATCACATATACTACTAATAAATAATAAATAAGTAGAAGAATATAATTAATTAATTAATTAATTAATTAATTAATTAATTAAGATGATGATCTAAAGTTATCTCTTGGTGAATGAAGTGGAAACAGGGGCAAGAGCTCAGGCGGGTCGGATCCTCTCGGAGTGCTTAACGGGCTCGGGTGCAAATAGAAACCCTTATCAGCAATCGCTCTCTCTTCTTCCTCCACCGGCGATCTCGGAGTTCCGGGGCTCCCACGCGCCGCCGCCGCCGCCAGGTACTCCAACGGCGAAACTGGCGAAACCATAACCATGCTCTCTCCGCCGTAGCTCCTCTGGTAGTTTCTTGGAGCAGAAGACGAACACGAGGGAGAATGCAGCGCGGCGGCGGCGGCGCCGCCGCCGCCGCCGAGCTTGATCTCCAGCTTTCTGGCTGTAGGCCTTCGCTCGTGGAGCTTGAAGGCGGGTCTGCGGGGACCCATCTCGCCGGAGTTTGGTTTGGCGGCGGAGATCTTAGCTGGGTCAGCTCCGGTGAGGCGTTGAACGACGCTGCGGAAAGTTGACGGGTCGGCTTGAACGAAGGTGGTGTTGGGTATGAAATTCGGGTCGAACCCGTTTTGGAATGCGGGTGGGTTAGGGTTAGGGTTGTTGTTGGAAGAAGAAGAAGCCATGGGAGATTGATTTGATTGCTCTGTGAAAAGTTATCAAGAAAGAATGGAAGCGGGAAGAAAGCCATAAAATGGGGTTTGCTTTTATGCTGTTTTTTTTTTTTATTATTATTAATTTTTTTAATATTTTTTGATTTTCTTGGTAAAATAAAATAAAAATAAATTATGACGTGGTATTTATGGATGAGGAGATTGTGAAAAAATGTCAGATGCTGTGGGAGGAGAATAGTTTCGGTTTAATGCAGTGTTTTTTACTATCTCCACTCTTGTTTTTGGCTAAAGCCTCTATCAAATACATTTGTGTAATTACGAAAAGCCCCATGAAATATGTTGGCGGTGTTACTCTTGATGGTGTTTTTTATTACATGGAATATTCTTCGAATACTACTATTTACAAAACAAATTATGCCCGTGGTTTGTCATTGTAAGCATATTATTTACTTAGAATGTAAATTGTAATGTCTTTTAAAAAAAAATCAATATTTTACGAAATTTTGTAACATAGTTGTTTTTAGTTTTATATATTATATGTATTCTTCATTTCATAATTATTAAAACTAAAAGATATATATATATATATATATAAAGAATTAAACATATATTGTATCATTAATAATTTATATTTGTTTGTAATTTTTATCGTTTACATTTTTATAATTTCTTATACAATGAAATTGATTTGCAATAGATATATATTGAATATAAATAATTCATTAAGAAAAAACTACAAACTATGCTCATCTTCTTCCCCTCTCACAACTATAATCATAGTTCTTATTGTTACTGTTTCAGGGGTTAATTGTAATACTCAAACACTCATAAGGAGTTCCGTTGTAAAATTTTTGGTTTAGTTCAGATTACTTAAAGGATAAAATAGAGAAAACACAAGTTCCGTTAGAATACACCGTCAAACTGAAATTAGAGGGTATTTTTCCATAATTATACAAACATGGAGATGATTTTATCTGAAGGGGTTTCTTGTAATTAAATCTTACCTGAAGGGGTTTCTTGTAATTTGCTCAAACACAAAATGGTCCCAAAAGAATTGGAAATAGCAAAATAGAATGGAAAAATAAGTTTTGAAATTTGAATATAATGTGAGAAATAAATGTAAGAAATAAAATTAAAAAAAAAAAAAAAAGAAAAAAAAAAAAGAGTGAGGATGAATGATGAGTCATATGAGGGGCATTGAAACGGGAAACGAGGAGTAGACTTCTTACAGAGTTTCATCAATGGCCCCCGTCACTACTCACAACTGTTTCTTTTCCTTTTTTTTTTTTTCTCTTTTTTTTTCTTTTGTATTTTTTATTTAGGGTAAATTACAACCACACCTAAAGTATGGTTAAATTACAAAAACTCTCCCTTTTGTTTGGGTAATTGCAACCACCCCTCAACTATAAATCTTCTTACACGTCCACCCTTGCGGTTTCAAATTTAGTGAAATCTTCGAGATTATATGGAATATTATCACTTTTATACCCTTTTTATCCCATTCGAACTCTACATTTTGAAGTAGGATGATCATAATATGTGTTTTTTAGCTTGTATATATCAGATTGTGGTGCACCAAAATTTTTACACAAAACGAGTACAAACTAGAGCACATTCCACGAAATCTAGATGATTATGTTGAATTTGACACCATAAGGGTGGATATGTATGAAAAATCATAGTTGAGGGTAGATGTAATTATCCAAATTAGAGGGTTTTTTTAATAAATTTACCATACTCAGGGGGGTGTTTGTAATTTACCCTTTTATTTATTTTTATTTTTTTAATTTCTTTTACTCCAGTAGGGAAAAAAAAAAGTGTAAATCGTTTCCCCCCAATCAGAAATCCCCACCCCTCCTAAATTTGCGTGCAGTTTTATAAATTATTTATTCATTTAGGAATATAAACTAGTCAATAAACGACGTCGTTTTTTATTTTATCGAATTTTGTTTAGATTTTTATTTTTTATTTAATTGAATTAAATAAATAAATAAATTTGTTTGCGTGAGGGAAATTGAGTTGGGACATCAGGAAAAAAAAAAAGGACGTAGCAGGCTGGCTTTGCTTTTGTTTCAGTTACATTTTTCTTGGCTTTTATGTTTTTCTTTTTGCCTTTTTCAGTTTTAATTTTTTTAATTTTTTTGTTTGTTTTTGTGACCTTTCATTTCACTCATTTGTTTCTTCCTCCCATTTTTTCTCTCTTTCCCACCAATAATTTTGTGTAGCACCTTCTTCCATTCAATCTACATAAATAATTGTAGTGTGTGTCTATATATATATATAGAGAGAGTAAATTGCAAAAAGTATCCATGTGTAATCTCTAAATAGCAAAAACTCCCCTGTGATAAATAAACTAGCAAAAATCTCATTGTGAAATTATTTAAATAGCAAAAACCCCCCTATGCATATTTTTAGACGTGAAATGACGAAATTGTCCCTCAAAATGTATTTTTATGTATATATATTATATGTATATATATTTTTTCTTTTTAATTTGATTGTTTAGAAATTAAAATATTATTAAAAAAATAGTAAACAATTAAGATATAACAAAAATAAAATAATTAAAATATTTATAAAATATAAGAATTTATTAATTTCAAAATCCTAGGGGTATTTGTGTCTTTTTATATCAAGAAAACACTCAAATAATTTCATAGGGGGGTTTTTGCTATTTACAGATTACACTGGGGTACTTTTTGCATTTTACTCATATATATATATATATATATATATATATATATATATATATATATATATATACATACACGTATGTATATGAAGTTTGTGTGTGTGAAGAATAATTTAATACATAATAAGAAAATATAGTATACTAAAATAGTAAAATTTAATAATGTAGTATTATTCATATTTTATCTAAGATTAGTTTTTTTAAAATCTTACGTATTAAGATTTATGATCCAAATAGATTTAACAAATCAAATTTCTATCTTTATCTCTTAAGATTTGAGATATATTGATGAAGAATAGGAGATTGATAATTGTGGAAAATTATAGTTAGAAAATTAGTAGAGAAAAAATATTAAAAATAAATAATTATAGAAGTACCATTATGGTAGGATTCTTCACGGTTTAGTTTCAATTTTTGATAATTGTTAAAAATTATAGTTAAAAATTAGTAGAGAAAAAAATATTAAAAATAAAGAATTACATAAATATCATTAGAGTTTTTTAGGGTTGTCCAGCGTTTCTTTCTTGTATATATAAGATATAAGATTACAGTTACTTCTCTGAGATATGGTCAAATTACGAAAAATCCCTCTTGTTTGGGTAATTACAGCTATCCCTCCTTTTAAATATTTTTACATAAAAATTATGTAATTCGGTTATTTATCGAAGCAAATAATATATTTAGTTCGGTAAACGGTATGAAATGTTGGCGTACCGAAATTTCGGTTCGGTTTTACCGAATAACATCCCTTTTCGTAAGATAAAACATAGTTGAGGGGGTCGCTGTAATTACCCAAATAGGAGAAGAATTTTCGTAATTTGACCATAACTCAGGGGTGGCCTCAATCTACCCTAGTTTTAAAGTGCAGCCAACATAATTTTTTATTATGGCTCGACATGGTTTTAATTAAGAGAGAGCCAACGTAGTAACGCTCAGAACAAACTCACACAATATTTGATCAATATAAATTTGCCTCGTACAAATTCGAACCCTCATTCGTATCATTCGAATTGGGACGTCGTTAACTAAACAAACACGAATTAAATCATTTTTCAAATATTGTTATCATATAAATAACAAAGTTCTTACACAACTCCATGAGTCACATATGGAATCTATAGGGGACCCTTGACAAAAATCTTCAATATAATTACGCATCATTGAACCCTAGAACATTTTTATTGTGCCCCATTCCAAATTTAGCAAATCAAAACAATGGTCATCAAATCATAACAAAAGTGAGTAAGCCAATTTGGTGCAATTTGAGTTTTCTCATCAAGTGGCTAGGGTTTTGTCTAATAGTCAATGGTGTCACATTGCCAATAAGGGTTTACATTTCGAAAGAATAATTTGAAACGACTTTAAATAAAATCGAACTATTTGAAATATGTATTTCCAAACGTGAATTTATTGTTACGAAATTAAAATTCTTTGATCAAATTAATCATTTCATCGAGATGCAATTTGCGGAGAAAAAAAATTATAATAGTACAAGCATAAGCATTGTTCATTTTAAATTTGGTTCATATTTTTTTGTAACACGTGAATTTACTATGCTTACCCATTTTTCATAAGTGATGGTTTTTTTTTTTTTTTTTCTTAAATTTCAAGAATGTTGACATACTTCTGAAACCATAACCGAATTGATATTTAAGTCCTTAAATTGACGTCATAATTAAGTTCTTCAATAAAAAATTCTACATCCTAATTTTCTTGTAGTCAAAAGTAAATCATATGATGACGTCATATATTGAAGAAATTACAACTCTTTGAAAATCTTGGGAGATGCCAAGGGAACACTCAATCATTTCAATTTTTATTTTATTTTATGATATTTTTTTTAATTTTTTTTCTGTGTGTGGACGACACTATTATTGTCACTTTTTTTCTATTAGGCGGAAATTTTATTTCATTTCGGCAATTCATCATGACTTTTTTTTACTAGAGTAGAATCTCGATAAATTAATAATGCGCTTAATTAATAATTTATTTTGGTCTCATCTCGATAAAAACGTATTAAATTATTAGTACAATAATTTAATATTTCGCTAAATTAATAGAATTTTACTAGTGTCGACTGTATTTATTTATAGACGTTTAACTGTATATGAATCAATCCTATTAAATATGCATCTTCATTGAAGTTATAGAGTTTGAAATTTCAGCAATAGTTGATGCATCTTCATTTAATATTATCTTCTGCGGAGATATAAAATTTTGCAGAAATCAGAGTTCAGTTACCTATATGCTACGGCTCATGCAAATGATCATAAATACATACAATACAACCCTCAATTTGAATTTAAATTCATTAATGTTTTCTTGATTTCTTTTGCAATTGTTTATCCTTCAGTTTTATTAAAAAAAATATTAATAACTTCCAGGGAAAACAATCGTGCCATGTGAGCCGAGCTTTAGTTCGCTCAAATTCAAATACAATCGGGCTTTATAATCTCAAACTTGTATACCATCTGGTTTTATAGTTGTAGGCTCAAACTCGTATCGGATATTATTTCGGGAACCAATTTCTACCATAAACTCCTCCGATCGGAAATCAAGCTTATGGGATTACACCATAATCATCGAGACCTCAACGCAAAAACCCGAGCACATCGTCACAGGGCTTATTGTAGTAAAATGGATCAAGAAGTGAATAATCAACTCAAAACAGGAAAAGACATTCTTGCTGTTATTACAAAACAATGTTATTACAGCAGATGCATCAGTTTAAACAAAGCAAAAAAAAAAAAGTTTATTAATTTAAGCAAATAAGCAAAAGCAGTGGAAAACTGGAAGTGTAGCTATAAAAGAGTGCATACATATATATATAAAATATAATTACAGAGAGAGATCAGCCAAGTCAAAAGTTCTGGAAACAGCCTTGCACCATGACTCAACCTTCTTCTTCCTCACTTCTTCACCGAGTACTGGTCGGAATACGGTGGGCTTTTCCTGCTTCTCCACCGAAGAAAATATCTCGTTTTCCGTCCAAACTCCGACAGCTAATCCGGCGGCATACGCTGCTCCCAGCGCAGTTGTCTCTATATCAGCTGGTCTCACCACCGGGCTACCTAACAAGTCCGCCTGCCAATCCAAATATAAATTTAATATACTTCTTTATGAGTTACGATCATTCTAGTAACATAGCAGATAAGCCAATGCACAATCTTGATATCATGTTCGTGTTAGTACGAGCAAAAGAAAAAGAAATCGAGACCTGAATTTGCATGAGTAGGTTATTGACAGTAGCACCGCCATCAACCCTAAGCACAAACTCCCCCTTGTCATTCTTCGCCTCCCCCTTCTCCCCCGCATCCTTGTTCATCGAATCCAAGACATCCTTCACCTGAAAACACATGCTCTCGAGCACCGCCCTAGCAATATGGGACTTGTTCGTAAACCTCGTAATTCCGATACAAACCCCACGCGCATCATCCCTCCACCACGGTGCAAAAAGCCCATTAAAAGCCGGCACAAAGTAGACCCCACCCGAAGAATCCACCTGCAATGCCAGCTCCTCAATCTCCCCCGCGGTTTTGATGATTCCGAGACTGTCCCTCAGCCACTGCACCGCCGCACCGGCGATCGCGATCGACCCCTCCAGAGCGTAGTTCGTCGGAGCATTGGGGCCCAGCTTGTACGCCAGGGTGGACAAAAGCCCGTGATTTGATTGGATAATTTCTTCACCGGTGTTCAAAAGTATGAAAGCACCTGTGCCGTGGTGCTCTTGGCTTCACCCTTCCGGCAGGCCTGGCCCACCATGGCGGCGTGCTGGTCGCCGAGGCAGCCGGAGATCGGGATTCCGGTCACCGGCCACCCTTTTCCAATGGTTCCGATGACTTCCGAGTTGCTCACTATTTTGGGGAGGATTTCGGAGGGGATACCTAGGGTTTCGAGAATGGTTTTGTCCCAATCGAGGTTCTTGAGGTTCATCAGCATTGTTCTAGAAGCATTGGACACGTCAGTGACATGGAGGCCTTTCCCCTTGCCACCTGTCAGATTCCAGATCAGCCACGTGTCGATTGTGCCGAAGAGTGCGTCTCCTTTCTCAACGGCTTTTTTCACTGCTTCGACATTTTCTAACAGCCACAGCACTTTGAGTGCACTGAAATAAGTGCTTATTGGCAAACCACATGCCTCGGTGAAATGTGTTCTTCCCCCTGGTAACTCTTTCTCCAGTTTTCTTGAAAAGGAGGAGAGAATATCAACTTACATTAGAAAATAAAATACCAAATCAAATCAAGAATAATAATCAATAAAGTGAGAAGTATACATTGAATTGCAATTTCGTTGGTAATTAATCAATCAAATAACAAATCAAATCAAATCATATATCGGTAATGAAAAAAAAATCGATCTGGTGAATGAATGAATACCTGCAAATAGGACTGGTGCGTACATCCATCCAAACAATGGCGTTGTAAAGAGGGGAGCCGGTGGATTTGCTCCAAATGACAGTTGTCTCTCTCTGATTGGTCAGACCGATGGCTTTCAACCCGCTGTCGACATTGTGACCGGCGGCGGTGGCCTTATCAACGGCCTTCGCAATACAGAGCCTCACACTCTCGAGAATTTCCGTCGGGTCGTGCTCCACCCATCTGCCCCACACAAACCAAATCAACAAAACGGGTGGGTGATCGGATTAAGACGAACACGGATGAATACAAAACGAGATCGAATATTATATCACACACAGAAACAAGTGATCGCGAAGTGGAAAACCTAAAAATTATTCGGAAAAAATAAATTAAAAAAAATTACCCTGATTGAGGATAGAATTGAGTGAATTCGACTTGGTGAGATCCGACGGGTTTGGCAGAGCGGTCGTAGATGATGAATCTGGTGCTGGTTGTGCCTTGATCTATGGACCCAACGAATACTTCTTCGCCTGACATTTTTGCTTCTCTCTCTCTCTACACTCTCTCTCTCTACTCTCTCTCGTTCTCCTGAACAGAGGAAAACAGAGCAAAAAGGCTTTTTATATTGGGAGCGTGGGAGTGAGTGAGTGCTATTTTTAACTGGAAAAATGAGTTTCTTGGGAATGTCGATCTGAATTATCCAATCACATTTTCCTTTTTCTTTTTTGGTAATTATTTGTAGAGGTATATAGTAAATTACTAAATTATCCTTGTGATTAGCTGTTTTTAAGTTAATTGATTAGTAAAATTGAAAATAGATGCTATTAATACTATGGGTGACACACTATTGATTGGTGATTCCGACTTGGGCCAGCTAAAACAAATTCACTTGCTCCAGCTATTAAGTTATTCCTTGCGAGACATTTTTTTTCACCATATATATGGAAGTAGATTTTTTTTATTAATTTTTGCTAGTTTTATTAAATGTTCATTTATATAACAATCAATTCCATAATATGATAATTAAGTTTATATATTTTCTTCGAGTGAGTTTGTATTATCAAATTTCTATGATTATTGATCTTTTCAAAAAAATTACTTTACCAGTGTAATATATTTATTTTTAATTATTATAGTCATGTATTAAAGTTAATATTTTTTTATATTTAAATATTATAGGTACATATCGCACCAGAAAAAATACTAGTTAGTATTAATTAATCTTATATATAAAAGGAAGATATTTTGAACTAAAACCTAACACTAAGGACAATTGTGGTATTTACGGTGTGGTAAGTTTTTAATTTTTAGTTGCCTACTTTACACGAGACCACGCGAGGGCCGTGGACTTTTTTCTGCCGGCTCGAAAAAGAAAATCCTAAAATCCATGGATTGTCTTTTTCTAAAATATGAGATCACCATATATATGGGGGTATTTTTTTAATTTTTATTAGATATTTTTCTAATATTTTGTCGCCCAATAATTAAAAATAATATTATTGATATGAACACTTTGAATATTTGATCCTGAAATACTGGCCAACCTTATCGGTGAATTTAATGCAATGCATCAAAGTTTGACCGTTGACCTCGCTCGCGGACTTCTTGTGCATTCCCTCCAACTAGATTATTTATTTATTTATGGTTGGTCCGTCAGCTACTTTGTTTTGCAAAAGGGACCCTTCAATTAATACTTTTGCTTTTTGGTCCTTGCTATATGGGCTGGGCGTCAAACAAATTCAAAATCATTTTCTTTTATTTGTCCAGAAAGCCCAGGAAGGAAAAAAGACAGTACACTTATCCCATCAAAGTAAAGCCTAAACAAAACTAGACTTTTTATTTTCTTCAAGGCTAAGAATATTTTTTTTTTTATTTAAATAAAACAAGTACATTTTTTTATTTTTTATATATTATTTTTTATTTAAATAATATACAATAAATATAAAATGTTATAATATTACAGTTCATTGTTTATTTTGTAATTTTTTCGTTAATATAATTTTTGATTAAAATTTCAAATATAATATTATCGAAAATCAATTTTAAGCAGTCGATTTATAAGTTGATGGGGTTGCATAATTAATTTTGGAGTACTAAATTAAGTTGTTAGTAAATGATCCGTTCGAAAGAAACACGATCCCTTGGTCTCCTTTGCAGAGGCAGGTATGACCTGCAAAAAAGGAAACCGGACAAACGCCGGAGTTAGCACTCCGACGGTCAAGTCAGTAACGAATTACGTGAAGCTTCGAAGGTTCTCTTTTAGATATGTGTATTTGAAAAGTATGTAAAAAACCTGGCCTTTTGGGTGGGCACACACATCCCTTTATAGTGTTCGTTTGGCCCATTTCCCCGGCCAGGGCCTTAAATTCCGGTCGAGCAGCCATGCGATGCACTTTCCTTGCTTTAGAGTGGTCGGCCCGGATCATGATGGCCTCTCTCATGACCAGGCCTAGATGTGCTTGGCAGCCCCTCTCCGGCTTTTCTCGGTTTTCCGGTCGCATCTTGTCATTCGGGCATTAAATACCACTGTCAGAGTATTTACGCTGGGGCGCTGTCAGTGCATTTATACCCTTCTTCCCGTGCTCGCTTTGTCCCCTCGCGACGCTAGTACCCACGGGACCTCATTCTCCTCTTTTGTCGTTTACTCGAGGTGGGTGCGGGTTTAAGAGCCGGGTCTTTTTTTTCTGGGCCGCCCTCCCCCAATCAGGCTATCTATACCATGTTTGGGCCTTTGTTAATGGGCCTTCTGTTTGGGGTCTCTTGGTCTGGTTTTGGTCCGAATCAGTAAAAATCTTTAATTATTTATGAATAGGGCTTCATAGTTGTCACATAATTAAATATTTTATAATTGAGCTATATAACATTATCTTGCACTTATTTTAGTAGGGTGCTGTTTTTGCAAGTGGCACTTTAAATTTGCAGTAATTAATTATATGTGGATAATAATGAACACATAATTCGATACATTTGTCTGCTGCAAATCTTCTGCAAAAATAAAGTTTTATTTTTGTTTGAAAAAAATTATAATTATTTGGAAAAAAATCATTTTTGGCCCTAATTCTACTATTCTTGTTAGTTTAGGGCCGTTTAGATTCCACTATGATGTTCTACTAACCGAATTATGGGAGCTCGTAACACGTTCGATTGTCAATGTTTATATTTTTATAAAAATTCGCTATTAAATGCTAATATTATGTTAAATTAACAGCGTACCTCTCCACCAAAATTAATTTAATAAGTGTGACTAAACAAGTAAAATAATATTTCATCCTTCAAAGCTCAAACTACATGTTAATTATATCAAATAAAAGGTTTTACCGACAAATGACGTATAATACCAAAGCTTAGGAATTTTAATCAGGTAAATCAAATGTTTTAGAAACTAAATAATTAATTAATGTAGAAAATTAATACAATTTCATATAATCTAAACTAAATAACGTATTTATTACATTTTTGTTTCCTTCAATATTGTGTGAATTTAAAATGTAGATATAGTTATTGGAGATAGAATATGAAATAGTTATGAATTTAATGCTGACGTGGAAATTATAGGCAAGACAAAATAAAAAAGGATTATCCGGTGCAAAAGAGGTTCACGCTAATCTATGCAAAGCAAACAAACGTCAGTAACTACTCGTACGCCTGCCAGACCAAAAGCCACCGCCGAGCAATTATCTGATGCGTCCTAGTCCATCTGGTGCAGTGCACCCTCATCTCCTGGCCTCACCTATTAACTAAAGCCCAATTTAATATTTAAGGCCCATAATTAAATAATAACATATAAATAGTTTAAGGCTGCGGCTATATGCAATACTCATTCCATTTGTGCAAGACCAAATTAAAGAAAGATTTCAAAAGATTCTATTTTATTAAGATGGAATGACAAGTATGCCCATAAATTAAATTGACTTTTTTTTTCTCATGTAAGACCAAATACAAATAATGAGAAACAAACAAAAATCGACATCAAGGTGTCGAAAAACTATGCTACAAATCGACACTTAAGCGTCAAATTGCATAGGTAAAAATCGACATTGACATGTCGAATATATAGCACAAATTCAAATGTCGAATTTTATACCTCAAAATCGACATCTAACTGTCGATTTTTAGCTGTAAAATTCGACCTGTACATGTCGAATTCGTTTGCGCGGGATTTTATTTGGAAAATCGATATTCTAGCTAAAAAAACCCATAAATGCATACATTCTTGGGTTCTTCCATCGTAGAATCTTTTATTTTGATGTCTTCTGACTCCATACTTGCCATCTTTGTAAGATTTGTTGAGTTTTGATGATTTTGAATTTCTAGGTTTTGTGGGTTAATTGGAGGAGGAAGGAGAAATGTCTTGTGGATTTTGGAAGATGGAGAAGATGATAGTTGATCTTGTGGTTTTGTGGTCTTGTGATAGGGTTTTTTGTGTTTTTGAATTTTTGGTCTTGCATTTTGGAATTTTTTTATTTTTTTAATAAATAAGGGTATTATAGTATTTATACATTAAAAATTTTAATTTGGTCTTGCACAAGTGGAATTAGTCTTGCATATAGCCGCAGCCATA